TCTCAAACCAAATCAAATAGTTATCAGAAATTTATTTGAGAGGGAAACTCTGTCAAGCTTGCTGTGGTACTAAATTTTTGCTATAGCAATATCATTTGCCTCTGGTAAACCTAAGAATTTTGGTTCTTATATTCATTGGCTTCTAATCTCAGCTATCTAGTGTGAGACATTGTTTCAGACCACGACTTACATGGACCTGTCACTAGGGCTGCAAACGAATCGAGCCGCTCGCGAGCCGCTCGCGAGCGGCTCGAGTCAAGCTCGAGTCGAGCTCGAGATTAATCGAGCTCGAGTCGAGCTCGAGCCAGCTCGAGTCAACCTCGAGCTCGAACTCGAGCTCAGATTATTAAGCTCGTTAGCTCGCGAGCCGGCTCGCGAGCTTGAGTATATATATTTATATATATTTTTTATTTTTATTTAATAATAAAATTACGTATATTATATATAAATATATTTTAATTTTTTATTTTCATAGCGAAATTACGTATATATCCTTAATATTTTATTATTTATTCAGAAAAAAATATTATTTTTTTTTATTTTTTTAAAAATAAAATATTTTTTTTTTATTTTTTTCGAGCTCGAGCTCGAGCTCGAAAATTGCCAGCTCGTCGAGCTCGAGCTCGAGCTCGAGCTTGGTAAAATTTAGTCGAGGCTCGCCTCGATTAGCTCAAAACTCGACTCGGCTCGGCTCGTTTGCAGCCCTACCTGTCACATAAATTGTGATTCTAGATTTGTTATACACCATGATCTACATAGACCATCTCAAGTAATATGTAGATCCCACATAAATTTTGTGAGAGGCTATCCATATAGATCCAATTTAAAACAGAAGAAACATAAGTGTAGATGTCATTGTTGAGAATTATGAAATTGTGCGGCCGTGTTCCTGTTTGATGAGTTCTAAGAACTGGACAGACTCTTTTTATGTGTCTTGCATTTTCCATCAATGAAATGCTATGAAAATCAATGATGAGTGTGTTTGAATGGAGTATTACAATAATATTTTTTTTGTAAAAATTATTCCAAATAATCTACTCTTCAAACACACATAAGAGCACAACAAAGGGATTAAAATTGTAATGTTTTACATCATAAGTCAATTAAAAGATTATTATTCAAGTGTTTGCAAAAATTTAGGACGATTGAAAGATAATGGATAATCTACTTGCAAGTGTTTATCTTTACTTTAGAGTACAAAATTTTGTATTTCTCTAGATTTCTCAAAAATATATATATATAGAATGTATATACTGACAATTAAAGAAATTATTTAGACGAGCGACTTTAGATACACGATGTATAATTTGAATTTTAAATTTAAAATTTTTTTTTTTACATAATATGTATTTAAACCCAAAATAATTACACAAACAACCTAAGACATGTCAGTCAATCGTGTTGTACCTACTTAATTTCTATACTTAAATATTTGATCTACAGAATAGGTTAACAAAAATGCATTTAAAAATCTATGCTAGTTCTTCGATAAATGTAATTTAGAATTCCTTAATAATCAAGACTGGAATGAAGTCCACGAAGGACTCCACTTTAGCAAACCTAATTCCTCCACGTCATCAACCCAAATATCCTACATACCTCCCACTTTCTTCCTACCCCGTCCTAATTCATAACCATAAAATTGCAAATGACATCTTTAGAATTGTTTAAATTACATTGACATCCTTGGAAATTTTCTAATTTCACTTCATGTAGGTTTTTACTGAATTTGGGATAAATCAAACTCAATCCTCCATAATTAGGAGGTAAGTTATTTTTATTAGCACTTTGCCCTCTGTGGTTTGTGGATAGGTTTTCTATACAGCAATAGGATATCATAACTTCTTTTTTTTTTTTTTTTAGTGTTCCGTTGGGAGTGGACTTCGCAGACTAATTCCCCCGCCTCCCGCAACTTGCTGGCAACGAGACTCGAACCAGGGACCAATTTCCTTCTTATATGGTCTTGTAAATTAAGTTTTCAATATTGATTTACCTTTTTACCTTTTATTTTTCTCTTTTCTCTCATGCCATTACTTCCTTCTCCCGTTGTTAGTTACATTACTTATGATTAATTTTTCATTTGTTGTAAATTTTTCTTCTATTGTTGTACTTTTTTTTTAAAATAATTTTTACTTTATTTGCGTCAACATTTTTTTCATTGTTGTACTTTTTATTGTGCTAACTCAATAGCTTAAGTTGAGTTGACCGTGATTTTTTTTTTTTTTTTGCTTTGCCGTGAATGGTATATTATTGTGTAAAGTAATTATCCCTCCTTCCAAACCTTGTTCTTAGTCTTTGGCTTTCATTTCAACGATAGAGAATGTGTTGCTTATGTTTCACAACACATTTTTTTTGGGCATTTCACAATATAGTTGATTTAGTAATTTGTTTAACCAGATATGATTAAGTTAGAGCTTATACTTAATCAACAATGCCAATAAATTTTAGAAATGAGTTCTAAAAAAATTAAATGATGAGCTTTGGAAATCACCAATTTTATTGAAATTATTCAATAATAATAGCAAAAGGAGTGAATTATGGAACTACAGCAAATGGTAAAGGAAAAGATGAAACAAATAGTTAACCATATAGTCAAGGGCATGAAATTCATTAGGTCATATTCTTAGAATAGAATAGTTAACAATTACTCAAAAAATTTATTAATAAAAAAGGTTAACCATTAGTCATGGTTCACGAAGTGGTGAAAAAATGAACCAAGGGGAAATGAACTCATGTCTAATTGAGGGTGATTAGTGATGATATAATTAAGTGTGACCAAGCCACAAGAAACTTCATCTTTATATTTGCTTTACTTTGTATATTGTATCAAGCTCCTTAAGACCAACCAACTCAGAGATTGTACTTGTCTTTTCCACTTTTTATGCACATTATTGTTCCTTAACATGAAAAATTCCTTAAAAATTTTAGTTTAATGATTGTGAGCCCAGAAACTTGTTGTCATTAAGATTAGGGAGAATATATGAAAAAAAAGTGTAGTTTTAAGTATGGAAGAAAATACTTGTAGGCAAAGAAAATTATTAACTATAGGTATTCTATTTTTGTAATTTATTATACATTTAAAACTCATAATAATGTCTTATTGCAATCCAAGTACAAGCTATGCAAACTAATGTTAAACTATTTATGAATCTAAGAATAAGTGTTTCTTTCAAATTAGACAAACATTTGACATTTTATAGGAAAATGATATTGATACCCTAGAAAAAGCTTCAGATACTTCACCCTTTTTTTTTAACTAAATGAAATGATAAAAAAAAACCTATTAAATATTCTGATACACAAATTGGCCTTTTTATGTATTCACCAATATCTCTCTACTTTGTCTCTTCAATTGACTTAGTTTTTCCTATTATTAGATTAGTTTTAAATTGTGGTACAACTAATAATGAAGGAAATACCTAATCGTGATTGTGTGTTGATATGGATTGTTTAATAGTCCTTGACTTAAGTATTATACTTTGTAGTTTGAAGTTAACTTATTCATTATTTTTTAGTGAATTTTTACGACCTAAACAATGTTAGAGTTTTTTAAAAAAATTTAAAAAATTAAAGACTTTGTAGTTAAGAATGTATGTTTTCGTAAAAGTAATGCAAAATAATCATCAAACTATATATCTTGAGGATAATTTTAACATTTGAATTGTTAGAGAATCTAGACTATGGGTCTTTATGTCATATTTAACAATTATAAGTAATGGTTTGCATATATCCCTACAAAAATATATTATTAATCTTTGAAATGATAGACCATAGGCATTCGAAAAAAATGTGTGTAGCACTCCATCCTCACTAAAGGTTTTTTTTTTTTTTTTTTTTCCTTTTTTGGACGAGCTAATATCATTTGAAATTATTACCAAAAAGTTAACGATGAAGCAAAAATCATACCCAATATCACCCAAAACTTGATAGATATGGCAACTTGCATATCTTTACCATATCCTTATGGTTTTAAAGCAATATTAAATATTTTAGGTGCAATGCACATGTCAATATTTTGGAAGTATAAAATTAAATAGCGAAAGTATATGAATGTAAGAAAAAGTAATAATTATTAGTTTGTGCATTCACATAATAGGTTAAGTGTAATTTAAGTATTTTAACAAGTGTCTTCATTAATTTTTAATCACGAGAAACATTATATGTCAATGCAATTTGTACGCTAATTACTAGTTTATAAATTCAGTATGTGAATACTACTATTGTTTGGAAAATTTTCTCAGTATTGTATACTAAACACGTTTTTTAACTTTATTTTTATCTTTCCAAGCAATTATTTATTTAATATAAATTACGCGATAGAAAAGTATTACGGTGAATAATACGTCAAGATTCTCACAGTAACCTTCAATTAAAATGAACTGATTACTTCAAGGATCAAACACAGTATCCATTCAATTTTAAATTAATGCATATAAAATTCTCTAAACGAGCAGGGTTTAAATTTAGGAAATATGTTTAAAAAAGACCAAAAAAATTCAAATATAAACAGAGACAATATAACTCATGAATCTAGACCTAGTCGATCATTCGTATAGAAAATTTTTTTACACTACCACTCCACTTATTGTTAAGTATTCAATCTCTTGTTTTCCTTTTTTTCTTCTCTCTTTGTGTAAAAGTATTTAAAAGAATTCATCTAAAAAAAGACTGAAAATCAAGTGTCATTGTATGTTACTTAGAGTAAATTTTCTTATCAATTAGTTGGACATGGATTCTTTGTGGGTTCCGCTTAAATTTATCGGGTTTGAGTGTTTGTTTGCGCGTGTTTCTACCGTTTCCGGGAAAAAGAGTAGAATTTTCTTTTAAAAAAAAGATACGATACTATCAATAAAAAAGTGAAGTCATTAAAATTAGTCAACCAAATTCTTCAAAAAAAAAAAAAAAAAAAAAAAGCACATTACTCGACCAAATATCCATTCAATTCAATTCTGGGGAAACAAACGGCCGTCAAACTCCCGTCAACCGTCCGTCACCCTCCCCATTAACTTTCTCTCTTGCGCAGCTCCACTGCTCCAGTTGAGTTCAGTCAAGTTCACCATTAACTCTTTCTTTCTTGTTTTCCCACCCAAAAAAAAAAAGAAAAAAAATCCAGAAATCTCCGAATTTTTCATCTCTCAAATAGTCCGTATCTCTACGTAGAATTCCCGTATCCCATGCGTATATCAAACGCGTAGTCATTCGTTAATCAGCTCTCTTCTGCTTATACGAACTTTTCTTTTGATTCCGGGGAACACTCACTGAGCCAGAGATTCGCTTCTGGACGGCTCAAATTTGATTTGGGTGGTGAAAAATCAGGAAATGAGAATCGAATCTTTGTCTCAGTCTTGCTAGGGTTTCTGGGTTTTTCGAATGGCGATCAGAGGTGTCGATTTTAAGTGGTAATCTCTTGCTTTTTCTTTTTTCGTTTGTTTATCAGTTCAAATATTGAATTTGGGAGTGTAATTTCTCTTGTTTTCTTTTATTATTGGAAATAATTGGGGGTTCTTCTTTGTTGCAGGTATGATGGATTCTTTTTGTCAATGCTAGCTACTAGTATGTATCCTTTCAAGATTCAAGCTGAGAAAGTTAGGGTTAATGGATCCTATTTTTGGTCCACTTATTTCAGTGTTCATTGCCCGGATGTTTTATTTTTGTATTTCTTTAATAAATAAATTTCTTGCATTTGGGTGAAAATTATTTGGTTTTGGATTTGTTGCCTTGACTATTTTGATTAGAATAATTGTGGCAATCAATTGGAAGAGATACCATCTCTGTACATACCCCTTGCACATATGGATTGTGGTGAGTATCTTGAAATTTTTTTGTGCTTCTTTGGGTTCAATTGGTTGATGGAAGTAAAAACTGAATTTTGCCTTCTTTTTTCCACTTTTGGATTAGGCTGACTACACAACTGTATTTGTATTTCGGCTACTGATGTTTGTAGATAATGGCCTTGCTGCTGGAATGGGATTGTAAGGCTTCTTCCATCATTTTTGAATTCAACTTGTACAATCTTTTAATCTTTAGGAATTAAAACTAATGTTCTATTCATCTATCGTTTACAAGGTGTTATTTTTTGTGTAGTGAAATGAACTTCTGTAGTGCGAAATGGACTATGGTTCAGTTGTGAAAGTAACAAAAAGCAACCATTTTTCAGTTGCATATGAGATGTCGGTGCATTTCTAGTTGAAAGTTATAAAGAGCTTGGATGAATATTAGTCTTGAAATTGATAAATGAGGTCTCAAGTAAAAGTTTAGCTTGAAGTTGCGCAAGGTTCGGTTGAATTTTTGGTGCAACTATAGCCTAATAGTACTAGTTTGATGGGTGCGTTATGTTGATTGTAGGGATTTTGGTCCACAGCAGAGACATGCTCGTTTCTGTGGAAGAACAGTAGTTCTCTCAATTCTTGCTCTGTTGCTTTATCCCTTTCTCTGGGTTTGGACTATTATTGGGACCCTATGGTTCACCAGTGCCAGAAACTGCGTAAGTTTCTCCCCTTTTTCTTACTGCATCTGATAATTGTACTTTGCCAGCACTGAAAGGTTATAATTTGGAAATACTTTCAGTTGCCAGAAGAAGGCCAGAAATGGGGCTTTCTAATTTGGTTGCTCTTCAGCTACTGCGGACTTGTTTGCATAGCTTGCATGTCAATGGGAAAGGTTAGTTTTGTTTTCTGCATTCATAATTACCCATTTTGCCATTCCCCAACTCCCTCCCTCCCTCCCCCCCCCCAAAAAAAAATCATTTGCTTTTACTTTCTCTGTCTTGTTCTTTGTGCTTTTTCCTTTTCTTTTGGCAGCCCAGGAAGGGGGGAGGGGTGTTGGAAAGTACAGAGAGAAAACAGAAATAGATCACTGATGTTGCCATGTTGCTTGGTGTCTCTTACACAAGTGTCTGCCTTTTGTGGTTTATCTTTCCTTTTCAATGTGACTTGCTGATTATCTGAGTTGTACCTTTGTTTGCAGTGGTTGACGAGAAGGAAAGCACATCTATTACGTGCTCAACAGGGCATACCAATTTCAGAATTTGGAGTAAGCACTAACCTAAGGACTGTGCTTCAAAATAGTAGACTCATTTTCTCACACACATCACATGCATGTGCGCTATATGCAAATTTGCAGTTTTACAAATTGATCATGCTTAAGTTCTTTACTCAATCAGTGCGTTCTAAGAAAATATACTGCAGATACTGATATGGAAAGAACTTTCTTAAACTGTAATGCAGATTTAGAATGGCTTGGACAGGTGTTATTTAGGATTATCATGATGGTGGATTTCTGATGCTCCTACTAGTTTTCTCAATTGATTGCTATCTTAAAAGTTAGGCCTACTTATCAAAAGAGAAAACATAAAAGAGAAAAGTGAAAAGATTTATTTTTCTAATAGTCTTTGACAACAATTGCTGTGTTTTTGGTTCTATTATCACTTGTGCAGGATTCATCTCCTCTTTGAAAAGAACTTGTTGAAAAATGCTTAAAATTTCAGGTTTTGGTTGACATGATCCGGGTGCCAGATTGGGCTTTTGAAGCAGCTGGCCAAGAAATGCGGGGAATGGGCCAAGATGCTGCTGCATATCAACCTGGACTTTACTTGACTCCTGCTCAGGTAAGAATTGATTTACCTTAGTTTTTGAGTTTATGCTATCTTGATTTTCTGGTCTAGATATCTTGCAAGTTTAGTGCATGTTGGCATATCTCTGGTAGCATTTAATCTATTAGTGCTGCACTTTTTGTTGCTCTGGATATTGAAACATAGTGTTATTAATAATAATTGGTCCGTGAACTAACTTTAAGCTGTGGATGGAACATTATCTGTGGATTTTATGTAGCCGTCTCATTAGTGTCAAATTGTTTTTTATCTGAATAGCATAGGATTCACAGTGAAGAACTTTGCAGAGTTTGACACGCTTACTGTTGGCCGAAGACATGCCGTTTCCTCTATATATTCTTTAAGCCTGTTAATTCTCTGTCCTGGCCTGATTGTTAAGAATTTCATACTCCTCTTATTACATTTTTTTTAATGTGTTTCTATGTTTGGGTGGTTAGAGAGAAGCTGTTGAGGCACTCATTCAGGAACTCCCAAAGTTCAGGTTGAAGGCTGTTCCAACTGATTGCAGTGAGTGCCCTATTTGTCTAGAAGAGTTCCATGTTGGCAATGAGGTAATTTTGTTTGCTTCAGTGACAATAGTTTTAAGTTGTTAGCTTATTGAAAGCTGAATATAAGTCAAGTTTTCCCAATCTCTTCTCCCTTGCAAACACAAATAACTGATGCTATTATTATGCCGATATAGGGATTGAACATCTTTCATATTTTGTGTGTTAAAAAAGATTTTTCCATGTGTATGGTTATCATGGTTCATCAGAGTTTCAAGTATACTGCCTCTGGGCTCTAGAAATATTTAAATACTTTGTTCAGGCTTAAGAATATAGTCGATTGGCACGAGAATTTGGAAGAAGCTTATTCAACTATTGAATGTAGATAATATGTGTACTTGGAGTTGATAATCCCTGTTCATTCTCTCTCCTAACAAAAAAGAAAGGGCATCTTGCACTTGCGTACTACTTTTAGGATAGAATGAGGCACCAAGGGCAAAAAATAAAAAAAGTTAATTTCAGGATTAAGGTTTATGTTATAGTTCCCTTGGTATTTTGCAGGTTAGAGGCCTTCCATGTGCTCACAACTTCCATGTAGAATGCATTGATGAATGGCTTCGGCTTAATGTTAAATGCCCTAGATGTCGTTGCTCCGTTTTTCCAAACCTTGACCTTAGTGCACTATCCAACATTCGTGCTGATTCAGAACGATCATCTTCTCATGTTGTAACAACCACGCCGTATGTAAGAACTCAACCATCTAGCCAGAGATATCTGCTGAGATTACAAGGGCTTCTCCGCCCAATTCGCACAGAAAATGCAGAACCTGTCGCTGAGGCAGATTTTGCTCTGGAAACTGCTGAAAATGGAAGAATGGCTGTTGCAACTCAAGGCCAAGCAGATTCAGAGCGTGTAGAAGTGCTGGTTGAACACTCCTCCCATCAGCAATAACCAGAGTTCGCTTTAAACACTCTAACCCCCTCATGGGATTGGACTTGGAGAAGCTAATTTGATTTTTCCCACCAATAGCTATTGCCCAAGTTCATAACTTTCTCCTACCATATGAAAAGAATTCATTGATTAATTTGCTAATGTTGAGAAGCACACATATTTTCGTTCAAGTAATGGCATTCGTCTTGATATTTGGAAGCTCTGTAGATTGGTGTGTCATCTCATGTGTGTTGTGTTTTTTGCTCCTCTACTTGCTTTTTGGGCAAAATTAGAAAGATACAAGGGAACTTGTGCAATTGCAAATATTAGCCTTCCTTTATGATGCCAAAGTTCCACCCGTGATGCAGCTCTCACGAATGAGCTGTAGAGGGTGAAACAATTAAAGTCTTTGCTGTTGCATGAAAGGCAAAGAGCCCTACGCGCCTCATGTATCAAAGACAATTTTCTGATTCTGTGATTCTTGCCTTCTGTGGTCTGACATTATTTGTTACTGTCATGGCATCCAAATCCTTGTGGGGGTTGACCTGTAAGAAAAGTGCAGGGCCTACGGGCTTTTGGTGGTTAGATTCCTGTGGATATTCCATCCGTCATCCGTTTCCCTTGTCAAGTGGAGGATGATATCGACTTTAAGTGGGCTTTTCCTGAAAAGGCTGGTGATGACATAATTGGACACTGAGTTTTTTTTTTTTTTTTTTTTTTTTTTGTCAATACAATAGCTTCCTACATTATGGGAGAGGGTCCGAAAAGATTCTGAAGTAATCCGGAGTGGATTGAATTATCATCGGATCAGACGGGTGCATTATTTATTTTTGTCTCTCATCCCACCAAGTCTTAATGCATTGGTGGTGATCACTAGCTCAAAGGCTGGTGGGTGGACACTCAGTATTCGAAAGAAAGAAAATTTAAAAAAGCCACCACTGAATTAAATGCATGTTGGAACACTTCTGGAAGGTACAACTGAGAATCAATAATGATTCTTGTTCAAGTTTAGTACCAAAATTACGCAGTTTTGGTAATTGTTTTACTAATGCATTTGAGAGCAAATGGTGCATGACATAATGAAATTATTACCTTTTATTATTTTTCATCTTTCATCACTTGACCTTTTTCTTAACAAAAAATATCACTTAACTTTTTTCCCTTAGCAAAAAAATATTAGTACTAAACTTTTTTTCTTAACCAAAAATGTCATCCAATTATTATAAACGCAATTTCTTGGTCATTCTATTCCATTTAGTTGTTAAACGTTACTGGAAAGCCACATACGGGATCATGCACGAAGGGTTCCAGGGACTATTAAATTTAATTTAATTTTTTTTTTTGGCTTTTTTGAGCATAAGCTGCAGGAGAGTTGACATGACAAATGAAAGAACTTGAGGCCTAACCGTCCTAGAAATTTAATTCTCAATTGGCACCCTAGGATTTCCACATTACAGAGAAGAATATGAGAAGGATGTTAGATAGAATTTGGAGAAATGGAAACTTAACCCTCAAGCAAAATCAAGAAGCCCAATTATACTTCCTGTATTAGCTATGTAGTCCCTTGGTTCCTACTATTCGGCCGGAAGCCAATCAATACTTGTCATGTAAATAACTAATTGTTTGAGATAATTTTTTTTATGCACTATCAATGGTGGATACATGAGCAAGTGTAAGTGTGTGTCCCGCATTCTTTATCAATCATTTGTTGACCAACGATTTCCAACAATTTTAGTAATAAAATTGCTATTTTTATATATAAAAAAAAGTGTAAATGCATGTCCCCTAATTTGATTTCAAACTTGAAATTTAGTTTTTGCGCAAGTGGCATACATCTGAACCTACTAGTGTAAAAAATTCAAAAAATTCTCTACACCGACAGTACATAAAAATTTAAACCTATCAAATCCTTGTGGACACTTATTCCTCAACCCCAATCTACTTTCTATTTGTTTTATTTACTTAAGGTTTGTTTGATTCATGGACTGGGTGAGATAGGATGACTCAATCTTGAATTATTAATCCTAGGTTGAGTCATTCTTGGATTAACAATTCGAAATCATCTAGTGTTTGGTTGATTCTAAGTTGGATAGGATATATTGAAAAATAATCCTATCTTGTGTTTGGTTGGATATTGGATGAGATACGATTACTATTTTAATGACTAAAATACCCCTTAATTTGTAGGATTGTTTTAATCAAATAATTTATAAACTTTATTAAAATAAATTAATTTGAAATGTTAGAATTATAAAGTAAATCAAGGGCTTTCATATATACAAATTTACATTCACTCAAACTCAACCCATTCGAGCCCTTAAAAATAGGTTCTAACCTAGTTTTTGAATCCAAATTTTAAATTTAATTAAATAATGGTCTGAATTTTGACTAAGTTAGGGTTAAATTGAATAAAATTCAACCCATTTAAGAGTTTTAAATGAGTTGAGCTCAAGCCAATAGAATATTTTTCTTTGGGCTGAGGTTGAACTTATATAGAATTTGATTGAGAAAATAAGGTTAGTAAGGGCAATATAGTCCTTTTATTATGATGTAAGTAGGGGCGAATTAGTCAAAAAATTTAAATTAATTAATAGGGGTAAATTTGTCAAAACTTTAAAATAATGAATAGGGGAAAATTAGTCAAAAAATTTAATAGAATTAGTAGGGCCAAATTAGTCAATTTATTATCATATTATTGTGTGAGAGTATGGTTATATAATATTTAGTGCAAGGGCGAATTAGTCCAAAATTATTGTATTACTAGTAGGGGCAAATTAGTAAAAAAACTTTAAATTAATTAGTAGGGACAAATTAGTCCATTCATGATATATTATCGTGTAAGGGTAAGGTTATATAATTATGAAAGTATAAATTTTATATTATTCAAAAGGATAAATCAATCTAAAATTTCATCATCCTATTCCTTAGTTATCCCTGGATGACTAATACCACTTCCTCCATGAACAAGGGATTAATTCGGTTAGTTGAGATATGTCATCTCATATGTAAAATGCAATCAAACATGGGATGATATAAAATGATTAATTCGATCATGTGTCATCCCATGAACCAAACGGACCATGAGAATTCGTCTTGTTCCTCAATATGCAGAGTTTTCGTCGCCAAAATCCCCGAACCAATGCTAATTGGGCATCATGCATAGTTGGGTCTATGTCAAAACTTCTCTAGTGAGACGTGAATTGTGTCTTACCCAAATTTTCCCGGTTCATCAATTAAAAAGCCGTCCCTTCATTTTTCTTCATCGTCAAAAGTGTTGGTCCATTTCAATTGCTATTTAGGAGTTTTCATATAAAAGTGACTAGCTTGGATCTGGCCGTGCTACGCACTGGCCTATCCATTGATAATTTTCGTTGTTTATTTAGTCCTCCATTTTTGTCCTATGCAAAATCCAGATAATTTTGTGGATGTTGATAATATATCTGTGGATTTGATATGCTAATTGTGTTTAAAAGACAGAGAGGTAAATAACATTTAAAATAATGGCAAAGATTATATGAACAAAATCATTCACTTTTGACAGCACATGTGCTTTAAGACTAGATCTTCATACATATTAGCACTTGCAATTAAGTTTCATGATCTATGCAGGTGCAAGATAACAAACTAAACTATTAATAGCTATCTCATGATCCCTTATTTGTCAAGGACTGAAGCAGTTTCAAAAAAAGCATCAAAGCAATGGACCTAATCATTTAGCTAGCTAACAAAAGATTTAATAAAAGTAACATAATTAAAGCAGTTTAGGCCTACTTGCCCTTAAGCTTCTTTACTGGACTTATCTTCAATATTCTCAAGCGGATTGCTATCTTCTGGACCTTCTTTGGTACACTGCTCAGAAATATTGGATGGCTCTTTGGATAGTGTTTCTACTTGTGTAGCTTCATTTTCAGGTAGCCCTTTTGGAAAATCAAGGCTCCTATTTACTACACTGCTCCCATATGCATCATTTTTTGTGGAAAAATTGCCTCCAGCAATTTCTGCAAGCACCAACTCAGTGGTTGGTGTAAACTTTTCTTTCTTTGTTTGTTGTTGTTTTTTTTTTTTTGATATCTTGGTGAGGAAGTGCCCACTGCAGAAGAAACTTCGGTGCGATCTGGAAATGTTACAGTAACAGATTATCTGCAGTGTAAGCTTTGGACACACTAGTTTTAATTTGTCCCTGGTCTTAAAAGTGAGTCTCATAAGCCTTGAGAAAGTAGACAATTATATATTTCTTCAAGGAACCATTAAGTTCAGTGTCTACTTCAAAGTGCTGCAGCAAAAATTATTTTTTGAGTTGTAGTCGGCTGTTGTTATCTTTTTTGTTATGCATGGATATAAAATAGAAAGTTATCACTTACACTTTCTTGTACCAGTTTATGCTGAAATGAAGTGAATAGAATCATTTTTTCTGCACCTTTTCTAGATATAGTGCAATTGATTGTTCCCGAATCATCAGTAAAAATGATGGGAATTCGAGCCCTCAAATTCAACAACAGAAATTAACATCAATTTAAATGCAGAAAGAGGATTAAATTGTAATTAAAGAGCATGAATTGGTAACTTTACCTCATATCAACTTCACTTTGTTGCTTGCAAGAAGGATAACAGATAATCCAATCAATGTTTGCATTCACTATTCCTGTATTTAGCGTATCCAAAGGCAAGTTTCCCAGTTGCTTGAAACCAAGCTGTTTTTCTCTGAATCAAGTAGATATGAAAGATTTCTGAAGCAAAAATCACAGTTAACAGTAAAAAAGGCAAGATCATAATCGTACCTAAGTTTTTCATCCTTTGCTCAATATGACGAAAGAAAGAAAGAACCAACATCTAAAGGGTTTCTCCTTTCCCTTCTCCCTTTTGTATACATGGTAGGTTTTAGACACCGTACCATAGATCATTAAAAATTGTTTTCTAAAAGAAAACATCACTTCGTAGTAGGAAAAAGGGAAGAATTCGCTGGTAAATTCAAACCAAGTACAATTCCTAAAAGAAGCTGATTCTTGGGGCAAATGCAATCACGTGCATGTGGAGGGTTTTTGTGGTTCTAACCAAGAGAAAGTACAATGCTTTGTTCAGAAAATTGGTAAAACAGCGCAACGGATTTTCTGTCCCACATTCTGTGTCATTTTCTTTCCCACTTTTTATTATATTACTATTTCTCCTTCATAAATATCATGTTTTAATTCTTTTTTATTTCCTTAAGATCCAATAACTATTAATTCAGTAATACACAAAATTTAACAAACTCAAAAAATCAAAACGCATAAAAAATGAGATTTTTTTATGAATTTGCTGCTGTATTTTTTAATTTTCTATTATATATTGCTTTTTTGAAACTATTGCTTTTAGTGAGAGGCCGAAAACTGACCCATATGTTTAGATCAATCGACAAACAGTATCAAACTATTTGCATCGAAACAGAAAAATAAGAAGGAAATATTTTCAAACATACAAAAATAGCCCTAAATAGTTAGTAACTAATCAAACAACCACCTTTCACAAAAGGATGCAACTGACTTTTAACACTTATTAAAACACAAACAAAGTTAAAAAATAAATATATTTAATCCATTATTACCAATTGACCCTTAAATAGTAAGCTACTATTGGAATTCTCAATTGTAAGACCAAATCCCAAATAGACATTTACCATTCTTTAAGATCCAAATGAATAAAACAAAGTTCCTTCCTCCAATAAGAGCTTGACACTTGGCATTCAATGGACAACTCAAGTTGTTCTTTTATCTAGTAGGTAGATATGACATAGGTAAAGTGAAAAAAAGTGATTAAAAAATATGATAAAAAACGATAAAAATTTTTCTACAAAAAATCATATTCCAAACAAAGCCTTGACTTTCCCCCAGAATAAAAAGTTGGGAAGTTCTACCGTACCTTTTGTGCCATTTTGATGAGTACCAATTTAATATTAAATTTGTAAAACTTTAAAAATTTAAATTGTTGAGTGATGGACGAATTTACTGAATTACATTAAATTTTTGAATTACAATCGGTATGGTATCAAAAGGGACGGTAGAATTTCCTTTAAGAAGTATATTACTGGTGTTAGTTTCCCAAGAATGTGTCCGGTCCCTATCAGGAATAATAAGAATAAGAAGTTAGGAGGCTTTACTACTACCTTCTCAATGATTATGATAAGAGTTCTTCTTCGTCCTCCAATTCTAGTTTTGATGAAGAAAACAGCAGTTATAATCCATCTTCAGCATCAGAATGGGATTGGAATATATGGGTTCGCCACATTTCTGGGATTGAACAAGCAGAGAGCAATGCTTCCGGTTTAAAGGTTGGCTTTTTTACCCTATATCGGTTTTGTTTTGAATTTTTGATTTTGTTCAATGGGCTGTAGCATGGGTTTTAAAATTTTTGTTAATAAATTGCACTCTGAGTTGAAAATGCAAATGCCTTGTGTTATAGCTGTAACTTGTAATCACTGATGACTGACTTTCGGGGAATGAGCAGGTGGGGTTGTGTTGTATGGTTGTTTATGGTTGTATTTCTATGTTGTCTTGTTGTATGCATGACTTTTGTTCGTGTACACCAGATATTGTAAAAAATACAACAACGGTGTTTTAAGGAAGACGAATGCTATACAAATTAAAAGACTTCGATGCAACTTTAGAATATTTAAACATAGATGCTGCCAAATTACTCTCTTACTTTTAGCCATGATGATTCTTCCACCAATATAGTATACTGCTTGCTGTAAAACCAAGTCTTTTTTATTTGTTTATAGCAAGAAACCAAGTCAACTGATCAGTCCAAGATGTATGTGTTGAATTGCAGAGAGGGAAAAGAACATTCATTTTCATCTCCTCACCTTCCGGGTGTTTATCAATAGATTTACACTAACATTTTGATTTTGCACTAGTAATTTAGTGGGATATTCATGTATGAAATGAAATCGTGATGTCAGAATTGGATCATGTCATAATCATAATGACTACAAAGTGGTTCTAAAGAACCTTGTACGCAATACCAGTAGTAGAATACTAATCAAGGATGCCAGTGTTATATGATAATTGGGAAAGGCTAGTCAGAGCCACTCTTAGCAGAGAGCAGCTGCGGCTGAGTGGTCTTAGGACCCCAAGTGATGTTTCTTCGGCATCATTATCAGCATCTTCCTCCTTTAACTTCACTTCTGCTTCTACCCGAGTTTCGTCTTTTAAGATATCCTCCAGCTTACCATTAATTGGGAAATCTTTTACTTATGATCAAATCCTCCTGGCCACTGATTACTTCAGTAAATCCAATTTCATCAAGCATGGCCGCTCTGGTGATCTCTTCTACGGTGTTTTAGAAGGTGGACCTCAGATTGTTGTTAAAAAGGTTGATCTGTCAGTGTCATCATACTTGGTAACTGAATTGGAATTTTTTGGCATGGTTTCTCATGCTAGATTTGTCCCTTTGCTGGGGCATTGCTTTGAGAATGGGAATAACAAGTTTCTGGTTTATAAGTACATGCCTAACAAAGACTTGTCCAGTTATTTGTGTCATAGGGGAGTTGCCTCGGATGATAGCAATGCTAATTGGCAACAACCAGCATCGTTAGATTGGGTTACGAGGTTGAAGATTGCAAATGGAGCTGCACAGGGTTTGTGTTATTTGCATAACGAATGTGTTCCACCCCTTGTTCATAGGTAAACCCAAGAATCTTGCTTGTTGGCATATTCATTTTCCTAGGCATAGAGCCTTACCTCCTGATATAATTGAAATGTAAATTTGACGTACATAAAATATTGAAGATTCTAACTCGCCCCTACTATCTCAGCATACTTCACCTGATGATAAAGTGATGGCTCTTGAGTTTTGGTTCTGGAATCTTTTTGTGAATGATTCCTATGATAGTGTTTGAGCAGTGCTTTTCCTTTTTCTTTCATTCCTTTTTTCCTTATGTGTCATTTTTTACCTCTTGAACATTCCATGATGGGCTTCACCTGTCAATTGGCATGATTTTGTTATAATCGTTACAGAAATGTTGAAGCTCGCAGCATACTAATTGATGAAAACTTTGAAGCACGGATAGGAAGGCTTGCTGATGTCTGTACCGAGAAAAAAGAGAGACATCAGAACAGGATTTCAAGGTTATTATGGTTGTCAAAGTAAGTATTTTGTGCCATGGTGATACTTCTAAGTTTTTGGTGTTCTCGTGAGACTTCCTATTCAATTCTATCCCCATAAAATGTCTGCTGGTAAATAATCTGCAATATCATGGCCATGTTTTAAACTTCTTAAGAGTAAAATCACAAAATCAAGTGGATCCTTGGAATGAAAATGTTTACAGTATAAGAAGCTTTTCATCAATGTAATAGTTCTAATTGAGGAAACTTTGGGCTTTTATTACAAGAATCAGAGGATTCACTTGCAGTGGCTGAAGGCTTGACATTGTAATGTGTCTCTTTGAACTCATAAAAGAAATAATAGCATGCACATAACTTCTGAACCAGGGGTTCTCTTAGTGATTGACGTAGTTAATCTGAAAAGAAGCTAAAGGTGTTACTTTACTAGCACTAGATTCTGTTATAATTATCATTCATACCCAATGTATCAAATCTATAGAGTTGTAATTATAATTCATACCCAATGTGACTTATTTGAGTTTTGTGGCTACTCTTTTCTCTTTAGATTCAGGGCTTCTGAAGGAGGCACTGCAGGTATGTAAAATTTATTGCAGTATGGTTTGTTTGTTCTTTTTACTTTTTCCTCTCACTATCGAAAAATGGTAATTAGCCTCTGATTTTCGAGTCAATCTGACATCTTACAAACTATAATTCAGAAGGGAAGCAGAATAGAAAACTGGTGGACCTTAAATTTAAATGGTGAACAGCTGCTTGAAATTTGAACTGCAAGAAAAAAGAATAGTGGAAATAGCAAAAAAGTTCAAAACTTTGAGAGATTGGGTGTCCTTAAAGCAGCACTATCACCAGTTAGCTTTGTTATTTTTTTGCGAAAAATTCTTCATCTGCTTATGCCCAGCTACATGTTTGATAAGAAATGGCTTTTAAAGGTTAAACAAGATTACTAAAAGCATATGCTTGACCGTACCTTTGTCTTAATCTTCTCATAAATGACGAGGTTCATCCAATGCAACGTGTGCCTATGACGTTTATTGCTTTGGAAAGGTATTGCTTGAACTAGTCACAGGTCATCCAGGTTTTGGTGATCACAATGTTTCAAGCATCAATGGTCGGATGGATAAAGTCCTGTGTTACATCAATACTTATGATAAAGAACTCTTCGTGAACATTGTTGATCCATCTTTAGTGATGGATCAGGATCTCTTGACTGAAGTGTGGGTAGCTGCTGTTGTTGCAAAGGCCTGTCTACATCCACAGCACTCTAAGCGACCTCAAATGCTACACATAGTTGAGGCTTTAAAAGATCCTAAGTCGTTAAGGTTCTCTACTCATGTAAGATCGTGGCTTGATGGTCAACTTGGCACATCAGAAAAGACGAGAGTAACTGAGGGAATGACAGGAGTAGGTAGGTGCCATAATATTAGAGCCTGAGCTCCAGTTTCTTTTCTGAGCAAGCCTTCATTTGTTTATAGTCCAGCTACTTTCTGCTTGGACAATTGAAACTTGTTAGTTCAGACTGGAATCTATTAGGCTGTTCTATTTTTGCACAAATATATTTCTATTAATTGCCCTTGTGTTCACTGAAATTCTTTCAGCACAATAGTTCAAAATTTTAACCAACAGTAGGCAAATTTTCCACAATACCTATCCCAGCATTTTAACGCGGTTCCTTTGTCAATTTTTTTTTTTTATCTTTGGTACAATTATTTTTGTGAAACAATTGGTTTTTGTTTATTTTAATTTCCTTTTTTATACCTTCCATTTCAAGAGCTACCATTGGTGTGGGGATACTTTGAGACTACCTTAACTTCTTTTAACTTCTTTGAGTCACATTTGCATGATAAAACTGCTCCACTTGCCCCCTAAGTTTTTTATGTGTAAAATCATTAGACCGGGACAAAGGACAATTATAAGTGCATTTTGGCCAGGTACATCACAGGCAAACACCAATGCAGCATTTTCAATTGGGGATAGCAAAAGTGAGGAGGTTTATCCAATTGGGGATATCAGCGACCTCCCTAACTTGAGAATTTACACTTACCCAGACCTCTTAGCTGCAACTAAAAGTTTCAGAAGTGATAGAGTGCTGGGAGAAGGTTGGTTTGGAAGAGTATACAAAGGTTGGATTCATGATAAGTCCACATCAAAGGGCGGCAGTCAATCACCTGTTGCAATTAAAAAATGGAATCCTGAAAGTCTTCAAGGAATTGAGCAGTGCATGGTAATTCAAACTAAGCTTGTAACTGACTGAACATATAAAGTCATTTTGGATTCAATTGGTATCGGCTTTTTTATTCCTTCATGCACATTGTTCATCTTATCTGAATCAATTATGTTGGCACATAAAAGACTGGAACATAAAAGGGTGGAACAAAGCTTTCCTTTTTATAGTGCCATCTCTCTTGAAATAATTCATTACTGACCTTTCTTTAGGCATATCATCTCCCTGACAAAGAAAAAAGAAGAAAAAGGTCCAGTTGTTGATCTAAAGCAGTTTTTTATTATCAACAAAATTGCTTGCGTCAACTTCCAAAAAGGAATCTTTCATGTTGATGATTTGATAAATCATACTAACAATATACAAGAAGAGTCAAATGTATTAGAGCTACTTAGAATTTGGCCCAAATTATGCTATATCTGGTGTTGCCAGTCACAGTTGTCATGGGCATGTATTCACAGAATGGACAAAAAAAAAAAAGCTTCCCTTGCATGGTTCTCTTTCCACTGCCCAATGGGTAGTGGCATGTATAGCACAGCTAGTGAATTTAGATCTAGCAGTTTAAAATAAACTTGCATGATTAATGTCAAATAAGAAGGTGCAAGGTTGCACAACAATTTACATTAATAAGAATTTGAATGTTAGTGGATTGGCTTATGAGTTTTTTACTGAAGAAAGTGTTTGCTATATCTTCTACATTTTCTACTTAAAAGAGGAAAGGAGAAAGGTGGTTGACGTTGTTAAATATGTATGTCAATTCCTCGTGATTTATGAATAGATACAATTCACCTTGTGTGTTGATGTTGAACATTTCCTGAGTTGCTTCAAAAGGTTCTTTATATTTCTTTATGCAGTCCGAGATATGGATGTTTGGAAAGCTTTCTCATCCTAACCTTATTAAGCTCCATGGTTACTGCTGGCATAATGGAGCATTGTTTGCTGTTTTTGAGTATATGCAAAAGGGCAGCTTTAAGAATCACCTCTTTGGAAGTGAGAGTTTTACTATCCTAACAGTATTTGCAAACAGCCTGGCATCATCTAAGGTATTGATCTACCATGCAGTAATTTGTGTCGTGGTGTTTATTATATTTTTAGGGGGCTCTTCTATTCAGCCACTTCAATGGGATGTAAGGCTTAAGATTTTAATTGGAGCTGGTCGTGCTCTGGCATTTTTTCATGCATTAAAGAAACCAGTTATCTACAGAGATTTCAAGGCATCGTCCATATTACTTGATGGTGTAAGTTAGATCGATATACCTCATTAATACTCATATTGTTTTATTAATCCAAGTTTATTGGATGCAAAATTTTCTTGATTTGTCTGCTAAAGCTAAAATTTCTTTCTTAGACTCCATATGCTTGCTGTAAAAATTTTACTTACATACCAATTTAGGTTATGAATAATGCTGTTTTGAGATTGAACCATGGGAAGCTTCATTGCTTTTAACATTGATCAAAACATTCTGTTTTCAGTCTTACGATGCCAAACTATCAGATTTTGGCTTGGCAAAGATGGGTCCTTCAGATGGTCAATCACGTGTGTCAACACGTGTTATGGGGACCTATGGCTATGCTGCTCCCGAGTATATAGCAACAGGTAATCATACATAGATCTTTTAAGCTTCTTGCTTGTGATCATGGCAGTGGTAGAAGCTATAGTTTTGATTAGTTTGGCTTAAATCAAGTCTGAGCCAGATGCCAATCGAAAGGTCAAGAGTCATAATGACGTGGAATTCGTATGTAACAGGACGCTTGTATGTGAAGAGCGATGTGTATGGTTTTGGTGTTGTATTGGCCGAAGTGCTAACAGGTTTAAGGGCTCTGGACGTTAATCATCAGCAGGGGAAACGCAACTTGGTTGATTGGATCAAGCCTCATTTATCGGACAAAAGAAAGATAACAAGCATAATGGATTCTCGGTTGGAAGGCAAATACCCAATAAAAGCTGCTGTGGACGTGGCTCAGCTTACTCTAAGGTGTCTTGCTTCTAATCCTGAAGCAAGACCATCAATGAAAGAAGTTGTGGGTGCACTAGAACACATTGCATCCGCTAAATGATGAGCCAAAGGAACCTGGGACGATTTCGACGTGCCTGATAGTTCATGGAACCAAGGCATGAAGGGCATCCACCCTGTCTCCCACAACATATAATGCCCTAGTCTTGCTTTCTCAATGAACAGATCCTCACACACATTTTTCCTACTTAATACGCCTGTTTGTTGTTTCTTCCACATTTTCGCATCTTTGAAACTGTATAGAGTTTGTCTTTGTAGTAGCATAGTTGCTGGAAGGAGGACTTGGGGGCTGATGTCTCATCATAAATTGTTATTGAAAATGAGTCACTTGTGCCCAAGTTTCTGCAAAACACACATCACATTCTGGTGGGATATTGAGAAGATTTCAACTGTTGATCGGTTATTGCACATTTAACCCCTTCTGTTAAGACCCTGAGGATGATGCTTTCAAACATTTACCTAACGTCAAATTTGTGGGAATTGAGATGATACCAACTGTCCTGTATCCTTTCACAAGGTATCTTATTTTGGACATTGAGAAAATTTCAAGTGAAGAAAACATTTACCTGACTTAGTGCTTATACACATGGGCTGAGTCTTTCTAGTTTCTAAATGGCATATTCTTAGTTAAGTTTACAAATGCAGTAATGTATAGAACGAAGAGGAACAGGATTGTCCTGGTAGAGTGAACAAGGGAAAGAATTAAGAGCAAAGCTTGCAAATAACAAATCCTAACATAAATAGGTTTAGGCAAGAAGGAATTATTCTTTATTACCATGGGTTTCCTGGTTTTTAGTTGTAGAGGTATAAAAAGATTCAGATGAAAAGATATAAAGGTGAAAATAGAGGGAAAAAAAAAGGTTAAAATGCCCATGCTCAGGAAGCTTAATATTTATTTTGCACGCTTGTTGAACCTCATTACACCATTTCATATATAGACTCCTTTTTCATTTGATTAGTCAAAAAATAAAAGTTGCTCATACATGAAGCTTACTCATTTCAAGTTTATTTTAGGTAGAAATCCTCTTCTTTTTCCTCATACTCAAGAAATCTATAGTTGCTTTACATTTATAGATTTCTTTTTAAACTTTTGATACAACTAATTTATTAATCAATTGGTAAGTAACAACATAAATTCTTTTGCTACCACAAAAAAAAAAAAAAAAAAGAAGAGCCCGTGGGTTCTTTTATTTAATTTTTTGGACTCAAGATCAGTGTATGATGGTCATGACCTAATAATTAATTAAACAGAATGTCTATATTTGTTTATATCATTTTTGTTTTAGGCATTTCATTTTTATAGTCTTGTTCTCTTTCTCATTATATGATGCTTTAAAAAGTACAAAAGTCACTAAGATGACTTTTGACAAAAAAAAAAAAGTGCTAATTATTAGTAGTATCCTAGCCTAAAAATATGTCATGTTTAGAACAAGTAAATGGAAAGTTAGGCTGTGACGACCCCACCTTTCCCTAAGGCGTATCAAAGGGTTCGGCGGACCGCCTGCCCAGCTC